ACACACACACACACACACACACACACACACACACACACACACACACAAAATACAGAATGAGGACTGATGAGGATGTTCTGTCGTGTTGGAAGCACCTGGTAACATTAAAACACCTGCTACAATGCGCAACAGTTGACCAATGGTTTCTCTTTTCTCAAAAAAATGGCACAAAAGTTTCTTTATAGTTTAACTACAATGATTTTAAATGATCAGAGGAGATAGAATGAGTGGGTTTGAAAAGAAATGTTGACCCTCACATCTTGTTGGCCACCAAATTTGGTGCATTTAATATTCTTGCATCCATTTCTCCGACTGAGCAATCTCGTCAGAGATCAACTGTAGACTTGTGAATAATTTGCACACGCACACACAGTCACACACACAGACGCACACACACACACACAGTCACACACACAGACGCACACACACACACAGCAGCTTTGACTGGTCAGCGGGGCATAAAACAAATCCAAGCGTTCATTGGCTGCTTCTCCGTGAACAGAGGAGGCTGATTGGTCGGATGCTGGGGGTGACTGAGAGGACAGCAGCGACAGCCGTGTGACGCCTAGTTGTGCATTTACCCAGAATGCATTGGAAACCGTCTACAGGTCCCGCTGCCTAGTAGCACTGTTTAAACCAAGTGTTTATCTGAATGGTACGGCGCCTGCAGCTACCACCGCCAATCTCATTGGAAATTAACTCCCAGCACCCTTGAGCTGAGCTGACTGAGGTTGACACACAGACACACAAACACACACATGTAGACGGCCTTTTCTCCGTCGTTGAGACTAAACATAGAGAGCTTTGCTCTGGAGAAGAAAGTCTGCCCCGGGTTCAGTTGTGAGAGCAGATTATTTGGGTGGGTAAATATAGCCGTGTTGGTCACAATGTACGTCCTTCACAGAGCATGAAGTGCGACAGCCCAGCGCTGCTCATGTTATGGCCTTAAAACAGCTCACAGTGCAAAACATCTGGATGATACCAGCCATTCAGTTTTTAAATACAACACCGCTGCTTGGAAGAAGCCACATTTTTCCTGATGTCCAAGTTGGGTTCTTTATAGTCCACAGCTCCTTTCAGAAAAGGAACAAGCATGACTAGATGTTTTCACACGACACATGGTCACACATTTTACAAAGAAATGTTACAAAAGTCTTCAGTTCAGCAGAAAGAGGGGCGACTGAACTTTTGTTAAAACTCATCAGTTTTTAGGTTTTATGGTCTGGTTTAGTTAGGAGGCGGCACTCCATTCTGGGACTCCACACCTGATGTGTGTGTGAGTGTCTAGCGTCTGGTAGAGGGGTGGTGACAGGCTGGGGGTGTATCGAGGATACTCCCGGAGAGGAGAGCCGAGCGGCCTGCCATGAAGGTTTTGGGAGCTCTGAGATCGGGGTCCGCAGCTCTGGGTCTGATAGGGGTTATGAGGAGCGATGTGCTCCCCCAGCGGTGGAGAGCTCTGGTGGGCTAAAGCACTGAGCCGAGATCCCTGAGGGCTGGAACTGTAGGGAGGGTGAGGGGTGTAAGGTGGGTAGGGTTCCATGGGGGTCATGGCAGTGGGAAGCGGACAGGTGTACGACCAGGACGCGCAGGTAAATTCATCCATTCTGGGATCTGAGGCAGCAAACATGCAGGCCTGACGCTGGCCCAGGTCGGAGCTGTAAGGGGAGTCGGTGAGAGCCAGAGCTGGGAGGTTGGATAAGCCAGGGGGAGGCGGAGGGGGGTAGGAGGAGGGGTGGTAGTAGGAGTCATCCTCACTCGGCGAGCCACCAGTAAAGGGTTTCTTATAGAGATGATGATGGTTCCTTGAAGAGCAGTTCTCTTCAGCTGCAGACAGACAGAGAGAAAATGTGTACAAAGAACAAAACCAAATATTACCGCTTCTAATAAATGATTTCCCACTTATTAAAATTACAAACAAGACAGTGTTTTGATGCAATCTGATGGGGATATGCTGGTGAAGATTCTCAGTCATCCAGGACATGATGAATTCAAAAAACGTTCAATACAAAAACAACTGGACTTTATTTGTATATATACAATATAAATAAATATAAATATATATATATATATACAATATATATACACCGGGCAGCACGGTGGCGCAACTGGTAGAGCTGCTGCCTCTCAGCGAGAAGGTCCTTGGTTCAAACCCCGGTCCAGGGGCCTCTCTGGGTGGAGTTTGCATGTTCTCTCCGTGCATGCGTGGGTTTTCTCCGGGTGCTCCGGTTTCCTCCCACAGACCAAAAACATGCATGTTACGCTGACTGGTAACTCTAAATTGTCCCTAGGTGTGAGTGCGAGAGTGAATGGTTGTTTGTCTTGTTTGTCTCTATGTGGCCCTGTGATGGACTTGCGACCCGTCCAGGGTGTACCCCGCCCCTCGCACAGTGATTGCTGGACATGGGCACCAGCGACCCCCGTGACCCAAAATGGAAAAAGCGGGTAAAGATAATGGATGGATGGATGGACAATATATATACAAATAAAGTCCAGTTGTTTTTGTATTGAACGTTTTTTTGAATCTGATGGGGAGTTTGTGGTGGAGGGCTGATACAGGGGGTGGGCCAAAGCTGATCCTTTCAAAGTAACAAAAAATAAATAAAAATCCCATTAGCCCACATATAAACACATGAACTACAGAAACTCTGCTGTTCTGACTCACACTTATTGTCAGGGAAGAGATTTTTATTTATTATAGTTACAGTCCATGGTGACACGTTAATTGAATCAAAGTGTCAGAATATATATATATTTTTTTGTTTAACAGTGTAAAGACACTTTTTAAAATCTCATTAGTGTTACTGCTTAAGTTTTAATAAAACTGCCATCAAATTTCTGTACATGACACTGAACTGTAAGCAATAATTATGTTTGACTTTGCTGTTGTTTTAGTTTTGATCCAAAAAGTTAGGTTTACTTTTATCATTCATCTAGTGTACATGTATTATATGGGTATTTTCAAGTATACCATAATGTAAAATGTTCCTTCTTTTCTAGCAATGTGTGTTTTTTCCCACTACTTTTGATTAAAATGTTTTCACAACAACACAAGGGCAGTCTTGTAAAAAGTATGTTACCGTATTTGTCGCTGTATAAATCGTAGTTTTTTTGCATGAATTAGTATACAGGCGACTTATACAGGGAAGCTATGTATTTGTTTGTTTTTTCCCCATATTTATAACCTAATTTTTGGCTGAGGTCTGACGATTTCATTCATTTTCACATAGAAAATATTGAACACTACCATTTACAGCCACTAGAGGGACTTCGACTAATATGGCAAGCCAAGTGTCTCATTAATAGGTAAATGTGGCTATTAATGAGACACTTGGCTTGCCATACAAACCACCTTTGTCTGGAATTCCTGCAGCAAATGTCAAATCAGCTGTATTTTGCCGTGCCGCCCAGGCAAAACGCAGCTGATTTGACCATGAAAGAGCATTTATTAAGGAACTGAGACACACCTTTACTATAATTTTGAGCAAACAAAAAGTAATTGTTAATTTTTTTAAGTGTTAATCATGTTAAATTCTTGTTAGGGTCCTCCCGTGCATGCTCCCGCAGCCACCATTTGGCAGCCAATCGATTATTGGCACATTTCCAGGTTGTCAGCGGTGACGCATAACAAATGCGACACGTTAGCAGAGACACATAATAGATGCGACTTATACGGTGAAGCAATGTATTTATGTTTTTTCCACTTTATTAGACATATTTGGACTGACGCGACATGTACGGCGGCAAGTACGGTATTTATTCATCCCGCTGCAGACCTTGAAAATCTGATGCTAATTGCATTAGCAAATAAACTGCATAGATTAATATAAATTTTTATTCGCTAAACAGCCTGTGAACTTAATTTTTTTATAATAAGCAATAATTTAAGGAAAACTGTTTCAAATGTTGCATTCAGCACTGACATCTTTACTGCTTCTTTTTGTTTCTCAAAGCAAATCTTTTGAAAAGACTTTAAAATCTTTGATGATAAAACATCTTTTAACGCTCCACAAAATAATCATTTTTAAGTTAAATTGAACAGAGAGAATTGAACACATCCTCCACCAACCTTTCCTCTTGCTGCAGGGGTAGACCTGCGGCTGCGGGCCGGCCTGCAGGTGTGGATGAGGGTGGCTGAAGTGCGATGGTGGAGCGCTGAGCAGCTCCTGAGGGCTGCCATCGTTCAGGCTGTTCCCACAGCTGTAGGGGGACCCAACAGCATCAGGGGAGCCCCGCAGACCCCGACTGTCCCCGCTGAAGGGACTCGGAGCAGAGCACGCTTTCTGACGGACGGTGCTGCGAGGCACGACGGGGTAATCCTTACTGAAACACACACAGGGAGAGAAATAGTTTTAATTGGGGCTTTTCAGTGCAATTTTCTAAAAATAGTTTTCTGTTTGAGGATAAAACGGTTGTGTTCTTGTTGTTTCCTCGTTTTCATCACATCTGTTTAGATATTCTACATCCTCTCAGCTCTGATTTTTTTCCCCTGCACTAGCTGCCCTCTTGGTGAACTTTGTGGTATGTAGGAGACAGCGGGCCACATCTCCCTGAGTCCTGCAGTGAAACACACACACGCCCACACACACACACACACACACACACACACACACACACACACACACAC